AGTAATCAGTGTCCATCTGGCAAGAGCTCACTCATGCTACACTTCCTTTTCACATAATCTCAGGGCTGAAGAAATCTGGAAGCCTTGCTCTGCTCCCTTCTAGAGCCCTGAGTGATCCCATATGATCGCTGTCAGTGGGAGGAAGGAACATTTAGCTGTCCATCTTCCTCCCATGTGCAATGCCAGAGTGTCCTTCTGTGTGCTCTGTGCAGCCCCAGAGAAGAGCAGAGAGGGAAGGGGCCGGGCCCAGGGCTGTGCCCCGGGGCTGAGCCTTTCCCAGCTCCTTTGCCTGCCCCAGGGAGCCTGAGCTGCTCCTGCTGCTGCTGCCAAGGCCTGGCCCTGGCTGGGGCTGGGTTTAGAGCTGCTGGCAGCTCCAGGGAGTCCTTTCTGCCCCGACTGCCCCACAACTTGCTCCTTCCATCCCAGTGTGGGGCCACCGCAGGCTCGTGGTCCCCCTGCCCCTGCTCCAGGGTGGAAGGCAGAGCTGAGAGAATGCCTTGGAGGGCACCAATCACCCAGGGGCGCTCACTGCCACTGCGGCCTGAAGGAGAATCTTCAGCAGTGTCACAGGAGCTGTTCTGTCCTGCCTTTCTTTGCAGATAACCCTGCTGGTGAAAGTGATCTGGCTTCCCAACCCACGTTCAGGACTGAGCCTATGGGATACAGGAATGACCCTCTGGGAGATGCTGAGGGTATGTCAAGGCCTGTTCCCTGGGGAAAGCTGCCAGCTCAGAGCACAAAGGTCATTCCTGGGGAATCGGGACTCCTGCACCAACTATGTCCCTCCCTCTGCAGCTGCTCCCGCAGCCGGCCCTGAGTGCCCAGAGGCCCCAGGCACAGGAGCAGCCCCGAGCGGGAGCCCTGCTGTGAGCCCAGGGCCAGAGCCAGCCCTGGCTCCCGACTGGGCCGGGGCTGCACTGGGTCCTGACAGGGCCTGGCTCTGTCCCCTGGGGCTGGGGGAGCTGTCGCGGGGCAGGGAGGGCCAGGGCTGGCAGGGGCTGCTCAGGGATGGGTTTGGCCCCTGTCCCTCCAAGCAGAGATGGCCCAAGCAGCTGTGCTGGCCCCGGGCTCTCCTGCCGGCCTGCTGGGCTGTGTTGGGTGGCACAGCCGGTGCCAAGGGGTGGCAAGGTGCCTGCAGGCCCCAGCTCTGGGGCAAACAGAGACCGTCCTGGCCATATCCACTGTGCTGCCAGCTCAGCAGTGCGGCACAGCGCGGGCTCACGCTCCCCATTGCTCCCACAGATGCCAACAGCACTGCAACACCTGTTCCCGATGCCCAGAAGGGCATCCGAATTGGTTTCTGTCAAAGAACTCGCTGGATGCTAGGGTTAATGTCTATTGTGGCTGGTGGGGAGCTTGTCTTCATTTTGTGCTGTGTTGGAATCAGGTGTTACTGGAAGAGAAAACGGTGAGTGTTTTTATCAAATTTCCTTCAAACAGCTTCTTTAAAAAACCTAATGTAGATGGGAAACATTTCCAGTGAGGCTGCAGTGGAGCTGTGGCCAGTCCATGGCTGTCCAAAGCACTCAGCTGAGGGCTCTGCTGTGCCCAGTGCTTTCCTTGGCCCCTTCATTGCTGGGCCTTGTCCTGGGCCCCGCTGGGGCTGCAGCCAGTGCTGGCTCCCACTGAGGCTGCCTGGGCAAGAGCAGCCCCAGGGGCACAGGGCAGAGGCACAGCAAGGTGGGGAGGAGAAAGAGCGGGGACGAGATTGCCCCTGAAAGGCAGAGGCGCTCTGGGGCCCGCTCCTGGCCAGGGACCTGCCCAGAGCCGTCCCCTGCTCGCCGGGGCCTTGAGGGGCAGCTGTCCAGCTGGGCCAAGGTGTGCCAGCCGCTCCAGCCGTGCTGGGGAGCCCTGCCAGCTCTGGGCCCTGCTGTGCAGGAGGCTCCCTGTGTGCCACTGGCAGTGGGGCCTCAGCCACTCCTCTCTTCACAGGCACCACCTTGAAGAAAAGCTGAAAGCTGGTGGCTGGTCCCGAGACCTCTACAGCCAAAAGAGCAATAGCAGCAGCTCTGAGTCTAACCAGATTTTATTTTCACATCCAAGCTTCACTATGCTTTGAGGCCACAGGCCCAGCCCTCCATTCAGGGCATCAGGTGAAAGCTCCAGGAAGGGATTCAGAAGTGCTCAACTGAACCTTCACTGAGAGAATCCAAAATCAGCTCTTCTAATTCAATAAAGAGATGGAGCTGTCACCCCCGTGTCCGGGTGGTACCACCAGCAAAGCCCACCTGGCACCAGCACTGGCTGAGCTCCATGGCCAGGAGCAGCCATGGATGCCCACGGTGAGGGCAGGCAGGAGCCAGGCAGGGGCTGCTGTGACCAGCAGCGGGGCCCTGAGGGGCTGGGGGAGCCCATGCTGAGCATCCCTGGGCTGAGGGCACCTTTCCTTCAGTGGGATCATCTGGGCCTGGACATCCTCCAGTGGCATTCCCCGGAAAAGAGGGAAGCCTTAAAGAGCATCTGCAGGGACACAGCCTGACCAGAAATGCCAGCAGGCAAAACAAAGCTCCTTCCCAATTAACACACACTTGATAGGACCTAATTGATGGGCCATCACCAATCCAGGGTGCTGCACAAAGTCTGCTCCTCTGGGCGAGGGAGGGAAGGGAAGGGAAGGGAAGGGAAGGGAAGGGAAGGGAAGGGAAGGGAAGGGAAGGGAAGGGAAGGGAAGGGAAGGGAAGGGAAGGGAAGGGGAGGGAAGGGAAGGGAAGGGAAGGGAAGGGAAGGGAAGGGAAGGGAAGGGAAGGGAAGGGAAGGGAAGGGAAGGGAAGGGAAGGGAAGGGAAGGGAAGGGAAGGGAAGGGAAGGGAAGGGAAGGGAAGGGAAGGGAAGGGAAGGGAAGGGAAGGGAAGGGAAGGGAAGGGAAGGGAAGGGAAGGGAAGGGAAGGGAAGGGAAGGGAAGGGCTGTGTGGCCTTAGGGCCTGATGGGGCAGATGAACAGCCCCAGAGGCACAACAACCCAGCTGCAAACCGCACTTGATTTCCCGGACAAAACACTTGGTGTAGCTGGCCTGGGATTCCCCATAAGGCACATGGAGGGTTTGGCGACCCCATAAGGTTCGCCAGGTGCTAGGGTCCCTTGTGAGACACACAGGGATATTTTAGGTTCCCTCTGAGGCATGGAGGGCACTGGGGTCCACTTGAAGTCATGCATGAGCTTTGGAATCCCATGTGAGCCATGCGGGGGTTGGGATCTCTCCCAAGGTGTGCAGGGTGCTGTGTGGTTTAATGTGTGGGCATTCTTTGAAGACGCTTTCGAACTCCCCGTGGTGCCGGGCCGTGTCCCAGCGAGCACCAACGCCCAGGAGCTCTGATGCATGCAGCAGGGCTGGCACCAGGGAAACGAGTCAACTTCCCTACAGCTGCCCGCTCTGCCTGCAGGGTGTCACACAACAGCAACGATCCAGCAAGAACAGGCATTGTTACATCCTCATCACGATGTGCTCTTGTGGTCCTGGTGGTGGATCAGAGAGAAAAGCCAAATGTGACGGACTGAACTTGACTGTAGGAGAGGGATGGCTCAGCAGAGGACCTGGGGACCTGTGGTGCCAGCCCGTGATCGGCCACTCGGACACAGCAGGAAGGCCCCAGACTATCACACTTCAGCTGGGAGGGTATAAAAGCCCAGAGGTTCTTTGTTCAGGGTCCCCCAGAGGCACCAGCTCAAACTGCCACTGTTCCAGCACAATAAAATTGTTTTAAGAATCCAGAGATCCAAAACTCTGCTATGGAGGACATTCCACATTTCCAATCTTTTGGCCATTTAGGACCTTTTGATTTTTCTTTGCACCCAAGAAAAATAAACCCCCAAATGTGCACAAATCACTCCTGTAGCCTTTCCTCCTTTTATTTTCAGACGATTTTTACATTGTTCTCTGCTATCTTGTCTTCATCTTCCCAAAATTCCTGTGCCTATTTAAGTCCAGCCTGGCATGGTGCACACATTTTGTTTAGTTCTGTAGCGATTTATCCCCAGCAATCCTGCTGACCACACCCATTTCAATGTTGCAAAAACCGAACTCTGGGCTGCAGTATGTGAATCACACTCTGGTGTGTGAGATGGCAGGGCACCAGAGCAGGCACTGAAGAAGGGGCATTCCGTAGATTAGAAAATGGGATTTGTTTGAGCCTGACTGCTAATGCTAACACAGAACTACCTGTTGTGTTGCCTTGCCTCTTTGCAAAGCTGGATTTGTGTTTGTGATTCACATGTGATATTTTCCTTTCAAGTGAGCCTATTTTAAGATGATTCTGCCAAAATTTCTGTTTTAATTTGAATTTGATATAAAATCATCCAATAGTTGAGGCGTATATAAATTATCTGTATTTCAAACTAGTCTGTTTTTAACTCTAAATGTTAGTCTTTTACAGAAACGAATAAAAATATTTTGGAAATTGATAGATTCTTGTTTAACTACTTAAATCTATCAAACTAGATGAACTGCTCATTCTGCAAACTGGCATCCCAGTACAGATCCTAAGGCTGGAATCCAAAATTGTGTTAGGATGGTGGCCCAGCTGTTTCTGTTTTATTAGACAAAAATGCTTCGGCAAAGTGTATTGCAGCTGGTAAGGTTTTGATTAATGTTTTATTAGTATGATTATATCATACTTTTTCATGTAAGTATTTGCTGGATGTAAGTATAGGCAGAATCATATTCTTATGAAGATTTCATGAATAAGTGTCTTTTTTCACTTAAGGCAATAATAGCTTAGCTAATAAAGTAAAATTTTACTCTTGTTCAATCAATTTTCTGTTAAAAACAGTTTGAAGCTTTCTCAGCCAAAAAAGTCTGCATTAGGGCTTGATGACTACTGCTCAACACAGTGCATTTCTCTCCTGGAACACGTTATAGGAATACTTTGGTTACAAGTATTTAAGAGATCTGAAGGAAAATACTCTCTGCTGTCAATAACAGATCTTATTATCTGTTAAGATCTGTGTCAATCTCTCCATTATTACTGTTGGTCGTACTTTAAAATTTCTGAAAGGAAAAGCAGTTTCACAGGTTCAGTCAATATTTATTTTCTGCAAAGTGAAATCAAATATCATTAATGTAAACATATGCAATACATAAATATTAATCTATTAAACCTTTGGGGACCATGGCACTGAACTTATGGCAGTCATGTAACTTGACAATAATGTTTCTTGCCAGTAACAGAGAATTCCAAATCAATAAACACAGCTGAGAACAGCAGAACCCTTGACAACATAAAAGAACAGTACCTGAAACAAAATGCTACAGAGAATGGTCACAGGGAGCCATTCTTTAAAACCATGTAAACTGAACAAATGCCACTTGAACTCCCTCTAAAAAAATAAAATTATTTGTTAATAACTTCTATTACCTGAAGTTAGGTAGATCATGCCAGGTAGCACAAAATACAGTAGCTGGAAAATGCAAAATAATTTGGTAAACCCATCTAATGCTTCGGCAGAGCTGTGTAGAAATCAAGAAGGATTCTCTGTTCCCTCTTTAATCCTTTTCCTTTTTTCTTCCAGTGTTTGTTTAAATACAGTTTTCAAGGTATTGTAAACATATGGCCCATTCTCAGAATTGAAGCTTGTCTAATAAAAAAGAAACGTTTCAGTTCAGTAGTTAAAGAGATGCCATACAGTAAAATGCAAAGTAGATGCACAACTTCAAAAAAAAAACCAGCTTTGAGATTTATCAACAAAAAGATGTGTTTTTGATGGAATGCATAATGCTAAGTGGTTTCCATTTTGTGCTAATTAGACATTAAAATAAAACAGAAGAAAGAGAAATGTGATTGTTTTCACAGGCAGATTTACAAGAGATGAGGAAGCAGCACAGTGAACATTCTGTTCAAGCTCAGATTTCATTGACTGAATCTGAGAAGAAATCTGAGCTGAGCAATAGCTTCACTTTGTCACTGTTACTGAATAAGCCCAAAGCAGAAATTAGTTGCTGACATCCTGTAGTACAGGCCTGGAACAGAACTGGCTTGCAGTGTAATTTCAGAAAATTATTTCATCTGATGGAAAGAAGTCACATGGTGTAGAATCTACCAAAGACTTCGGTAAGCTACTCTAGGTGATTAGTCAGTATCACCCTGTAAAATTATCTTTTCCCTAATTTGAATATGTCCATGAACTGGCAGTGGTCCAGAAAGAGAAAAATGAGACTCCAGGATTAAGGTTTTAGTGACAGAATTGAGTTTTGTTGAGAATATTTCCAACCCTCTATGTATGTGATTATTATAAAATGTAAACCCTGAAATAAATAAACTTCACACTGAAGCATGAAGGAATTACTGTAGCCTTTCTCACAGAGGCCTCCCTTTGTTCATTGATTCACCCTTCATGATTTAAACCAAGTAAATACAATATCTTGGATAGTTATTTGGGATTACTTGCCTTGGTGAAAGCTTTAATAGCACGAGCAAGTAAGGCCTCCTCCACATCAGCTGGCAGCACTTGCAGGTTCACTACACAATGTAAAATACAAAGGATGGTCTGACACTGCTCCTGGTGGGAAAAGGAACAGCAGCTCATCAGAAGAATTATTGCCACAAAAAGCAGTTTAGCACTCAGATTTTGTTAACTGCTGTTTAAACACCAGTGCCTTCCTGTGCTGAAACCTTCATGTGCAGGAGTTGGTGGGGAATTCCCACCAGCCCAAAGACCCTCTGCGTAATAATTTCAATCATGATAGGAGAACTCTTCTCCTGAGTGCCACAAACTACTCTGGGAATTCCAAGATCCCCTCCACGAACAGTAGCCTTCCTGTGAATTGGCATAGGAAAAGTGAGATTTGATCTTTTCAGCCCAAAATGCTGTGCATGTTCAGGACTTTTTTCCCCATCTTGTACCTCTCTCTGTTCTTCCAACTCTCCATCACCACTGGAAGCTGGCAGAGAAACAACTGAGCAGTGCTAGCAAGGAGGAAGAAAGGGAGGAGCAATCTTTGTGGCTGTTCCATCCTAACCCTTTGCCAGCTTAATTAAGGGGCTGAAGCATTTGTCACATAAGCAGCCTGCCCTAGGCAACTCTGTTTTGAGCGAGACACTTGGACTAGAAGATACCTAGAGGTACCCTGACAAGTCACACAATTTGATGTAGAATGAATTCTCATTCTGAGTTTGAAAGAGAATTAAGTGGCTTTTTTAAAGTGCAACCTTTGCCTAAAGTGAAAGAATGAATTGTCAGACCCAATATGTACCTTTCTCAGCAAGTAGAGCGCATCCTGGGATTCCGTGCAATTTTTTGCCAGCATGTCAATATCATCTTTGGATATAATAGGTTCTTTCAGCTGCTCTATCCATGACCACATCAAGCTGCAGAGGATAAAAGGATCTCTCTCGGTGCAGATTTTATCCCAAGCTCCATCTTGAGAATTCAGTTCTTTCTTAAAACAAAACAAAAACCCAAACAAACAAACAAAACAAGAGATGCATCATCTACTTACCTTTGCCAACATTTGCTTTGATTGTAGCAGTATTTGGCTCTTACATTTCAACAAGAAAAGACATATCAAAAAAATTTATATTTTTTTCCAGAGTATCAATATTAATCAGCAGTAATACAAGAAGGATGACAGGCGCAGTGCAGCTGAGAACCTCCCAGTACTCCACTGGAATACATAAACCAGTTTTGCATTACAACTTCAAAGCAAATGTTGCTAAGAGGATTTGGGTTTGACAATAAGCAATTAAGATTCTACTAAATTCTTTTTCTTTTACTCACAAATCCTCTGATTAGTTCTGAAAAAACAGGCAAACTAACTCAAACCTTTAAAACCTGTACTATTTCTGTGCCACCAGCAGCCACATTACAACCAGAAATAATGGCATCAATTTCCCCCAGTTAGAAAAGTGAACATAACCAGAACCTCCACCCTCCTGCTACAGACCAGAATGTGTACATGCATTTTGCTAGCCTGTGAAAGATCTGACCCTGGACCTCATATAAACTGCTATCCCAGTGTACCATTTCAGAGCTCCACGTGGCATTTTTGCCATTCCAGAAATTCACTGAGGTGAAATATGCAGAGCCCGTAGCATGGATTTAAGTTAAAAATTACCTGCCACATTTCTACCTTCTGCTTCAATTCATCCTCTCCCAGAAATTCATTTATATCTGCAAGTGCTTTGGCTGCCAAAATTCTTCGAGCTTCCAAACTTAATTCTGACTGCAGAACAATGTGTGGAATTGTCTCTGACAGCTCTCTGTCACTCTTGCTTTCATATCCAATGGAAAAGCTCACTTTGGAAGAGGAAGAGTCAGAATCCTCAGAGAGATAGACTCTCCTGCCATATATATTGGTCTTGTGGTCCTTCCTGTGAACAGTCTCGTTGGCAAAGCTGTGCCTTGGCATTCCAGGTTCCTTGGGATTGTGCATGCACGCAAGGCCGGAGGAAAAGGTCTTGCTGCGTTGTACTTCTTTGATAGAGCTCCTTCTGTCATAGGAGCCATCCCTTCTTCCATCCAAATGAAATCTCCTTTGACTCGAGAACACACACGTGTTACGCACTAATGCCTCTTTGTTTAATTCCAGCTGTGGCTTTGCCTCACCTATTACAGAACATTCCTCCCCACTGTTCTGCTTGGGTTTGTTGTTCACTAAGATCTGAGCAGGCACTGTCCAGGCAGTGTCATCCTGTTCCAAAAGAAACTCAGTTCTCCTTAGGTCTGACTCACTGTAGCTCAAACGCCTTCTCAGATGAGTAAGAGGCTGAAGGCATTCGACATTCCTTCTTTTACAGAAATCATCCCTTTCGTGTCCCAGGGAGAAGTGTGAGTCCTGGCTGTCGAGAGCAGAGGAGTGGGTGTGGGATGAGTCTGATGTGTCGCTGTCATGCCTGGCCAGCTCCTGCTCGAGCTCCGTGGCTGCCAGCTGGGACATGGTCTTCTCAATCTCAGCTGAGAGGTCTGGGATGTCCAGCAGCTCTGCCTCTACCACCTGTCTGTTCTCAGCCAGGTCCAGCAGCAGCTTACACACCAGGTGGATGAGTTTTGGCACGTGCTTGAGGTGCCTGCTCTCTAAGCCGTGGAGCAGGTGCCTCTGGCGGGTCAGGTACTGGGACAGGGTGACCGCGTGTGCCTTGGGCTCGCAGCACGCAAAGACATTGCGGAGGGGGACCAGGAACTGGGAGAACTCCCTGACACACAGCAGCTGCCCCCGGGTCTGGATGGAATTGGGCCTTTTGGCTCTGACAAACAGAATCGCTTGGTCAGCACTCATTCTGGTGGCAAAAACTAAGTAGCAAGCTATTAAAACACCTGGAAAATACAAAGACAGGATTAGTGAAGGAACTGTCAGACTCAAACAAATACTCAGTGGAAACACGGATAGAAATTAATATAGGTGAAGACATATAGGTGATGCTGTTATGTAAATGTAATTGCCTGTGAAGAAGCACAAGACAGTGAAGCCCTGCTCACTGCACTGCAATGGGAGCTCCCCACAGCCTCTCCAGCAGTTCCACCATTCACAAACTTGGGAGCAATGGGGGCTTCTAAGCGAAGGACACAACCAAGAAGGACTTGAAAGAAACAAATGAAATTTTAGGCTCTCCACCAAATCTATACGATCCAACAGTGAGTGGCAGGTTTATGAACATGTTATAAATACTGGACAATGAAAGTGTACCAGGAGAAATTTTCCCCTCCAAAAGCAGCTCTCACATTTGATTGTAATGGAACAACTATACAGATTAAAAACTTCTCTATCTTACAGGTTTTTGGTTTTAATATACTAAAACTGATTTTCTCTAGCTGTTGAGGATATTTGGACGCAGTCATTTAGCACTTGTAACCATTTTATAGAGGTCCATCTTGCAATGACACAGAATTCTAGCCCAGTTATTACTGTTTTATAACCAGAGATGGTTGGAGTCTCTAGAGGAACCCTGGTGCTGCTCCTGCACGAGACATATACCTGTCCTCCCAAGTCCTGCGTGGCAGTGAACAGCCACCCTTCCCTCCTGCAGGGCGAAAGACATCACCTTTACCATGTCAAGGATAGTTGTGAGAGATGCCACTCCATAATCCTTCCATCCAAAATTATAAAAATAAACTGAAATAAAAAGAGAGAGAGTGATTTTCTGCCACACCGATTGTGCAAGGTGTAGTACTGTTTGCAGAGGAGAGATTACTAATAAGAAATTATAGTACTAGAATTGCATAATGGAGCTTAAAATCTGACTATATCTTGTTTGCAAGAGATTATTTTCGCATTTCAGTGTATGCTTGCTATTGAAACTTGATAGATACACGAAGCTAGCAAAGATTTGTCAAACTCAAGTTCAGCTAAAATGTAAAAGATGTAACAAAACAGTGATTCATGCAAAATTACTCAGCTATATACAGAAAGGGCAATTTTTTCTTTTCAGAAATAAAAGCACTTCTTCAGTCAGCAGCTGCTTTTTACAAAGAGGCACTTTCTCTCTTCTCACTATAATATGAAAATACAAAAATACTGTCAGGAGCAGTGTCCTCATAATAAAGTAACTTTTTATAGTCTCGGTAAGAAGACATGAGTGTACCAGAATTTGTGAATACAGAAGAAAAAAGGAACTGTTGTCCTTTCTTTAGAAACACCTGAACACAAACCCTCCATCTCTCTCTGTATAATATACAGTCTTCAATAATGTGTTATTTGCTCTTCATTGTATTTGCCAGGTTTCACATTTTGTGCAATGTTTCCTACATAGCTGTGTTTAACTCACAGGAATTCAAGTAAAAATATCTTGAAATGCCAAAGTCAATAATTAATGAGGAACAACAGCAGGAGGGAACTTACTGCCAGCCTCCATAAAGGCTTCAGGAAGGTAGGTGAAGCCACTCTCCTGCTCCAGGGGGTTCCCACAGCTCGCATGCTCCCCAGGACGCTGAAGGTTAATTATGGTTTTTATGCCACATCTTAAGGAAGGAATAGATGAGTCAAAGTATTATAGGCAGCCAAAATCTCATTGTCCCTTATTTTCTGAAACACATATTTATTCTTAGTGGAGAATAAATGTTTACCTGTAGAGCGTTAAAATGAAAGGATCTTTATCAACAATCCAAATCTACGTTGAAAGAAAAAATGGATCAGGAATTACACCAGTAATACTTACAATAAATAGTGACGATATTTTTTACCTTTCAAACTGCTCAATAATGTTGTACTTTTCAATTACTTCTGTTGAGGGTCGAGCCATAGCCAGGATGTTATCTGTTATCCTGAGAAATTAGAAAAGTAAATAATAATGTTATCATTAATAATTTTTTGGTTATGAGTCTTCCAAAGTAAGAATACTGTTATATTCAAGAAAGAGAGAAATACCTTGGTGATTAGTTAGAAATTACTTTTAAAAATTCTACTATGCCATAGTGCTAGTGATAAATCCTATTAAACTGATACAGATTGAACATTATCAAAAGACTAGAACTGCTTAAATGCCAGGACATAAGTAAAAATTCCTTTGAATAGAAATCTGGACCCAGATCCCTGTTTTTCCCTTTAAGGTTTTTAAATGCTGCTTAAGCATCTGCTGTTAGAAAAAAAAAAAATAGTAAGAATGTCAAGAGACATTTCATGTGATTTTCCCTGCACGTGAACATCCTTCTGAACACACGCCCACATTATTTCATCTGCATGAAGTGCTTTTACTTTTCAATTTCTTTAATTCATTTACATCCTAAACCTTAGTAGCCCAGAACAGCTTTTTAATAATTCATGACAGACGGGTATTTATTCTTTTGGATCTGAACCAAACCCACTGTATGTCAACATGAACCTTTTCTTTCCTGGGCTGTGTACAACAGCCACTACATCAAGTTCTAATTCCAGATGAAATTCTCATTATGTTTTACACTTAGCAGCTGATTTTTAACAAGCCCAGCTATTTTGCCGCACTGAGCTGCTCACCAGGAGGAGTAGAGCCCCTTGAGGGCCTGCTCGTGCTCGGCCCAGCGCGCGGGGTTCTCGTACTTGCAGGCGCGGCCACCGCAGGCCATGGAGCACTGCATGTGCCCGGGGATGACGTGGCGCAGCCGCTCCCCCACCTTCGTGTACTTGGCCGTGGGGCGCCTCGAGCTCCCTGCGACACAGGCAGAGCCACGTTAGCCAGGAGCTCACTGAAAAATACCACTTCAGCCTTATGACGCAGTCACAAACACCATAAATACATGCAATATGGATTTCAGGCTCATTGTTCAAGGAAGGCTTCTGAGGGGAAAAAATTGCTTGCATTACTGCCAGGTATTTTCTTCTGATGAAGTTAGAGGTTAGTGACATCCTTTGCAGCCGAAAAAAAGTCACAGTCCTCTCCAACCTGAAATCCAATACAGTTAACCATGTCCTCAGAGCATGAATGAATGTGTGCTTCTGTTTTACCTGTTGTTTATGACTGAGCTGTTAGAGTAAAAAACATGCATTAACACCTGAATCGGGAATCAGTGAACAAAACAGAATATACAAAATACAAGAAGAAAATTAAACCCCACTATTTTATCCACACACAAAAAAAAGTACAGAACAAAACAAAAGTTAACAGAACAAAAGTATAGTAATACTAAGAAAATACCCAGAACTGCCATAGTCTCAATGAAAAGTACTTTACTTTCTTTTTCAGGAAAAGTTGCATCTAGCTCCTCGGGGCTGAGCGACGACAGAGCCACCATGACCCGGTGCGTGGACGAGGAGAGCAGCTCCACCACGGAGCTGCGGCGCCGCTGGCTGAGGCGAAGAAGGGGATCGGAGGAGGAATGCCTCCGCCCCTGGAATAAATGGCTAAAGATGCTGACGGCCGAGCGCCTGCGGGGGGAAGGCTGCATGGCTGCGCGGCCCCAGCTCCGCCCGGCACCGCTGCCCGGGGCGCTCTGAGCGCAGGGGAAGTTGCTCAGCGCTGAAGTTGCGGAGCGGAGCATCCCCGAGCGCGCTCGGCAGCTGGTGCCCGGGGCTGAGCTGTCGCCGTGGTAACGGAGGATGCAGGCGCTGCTGCCAGCCAGCCCCGGGCTGCTCCTTTCCACAGCGATTTCGTCTGCTCGGGACAAACTGTTCCACCGCTTGATGAAAATAGTTGCATGTCAAGTAGGTAATTTTCAAACCCGCTGGGAACAACTAAATTGTTTGTCATAAACAATGGGAGTATTTAGTTCCTGCTCAATAACAGGCATTCAGAACTGCTAAGACACAAAAATACTCCATTGAACAGAACAATCAAAATGTAGCTGGAGGCTCTGCCTCCTGAGAGATCTGTAAGGAAGCACATTATACTCCCCCATCTCTTGGTTCTTCATTCCACAGCCACCTCTCCTCCTCCACTTTGCTGCTCCAAAATGCATCATTAGCTGTGTAATGACTGGGATTAGTGTATTCCTGCTGAAATGCTTCAGTATATGACGAATTGTAGACTGTTTGCCTTCTAACAAAACACAATTTGTTATCCAAAACAAAAGGCTGGGGTTTTTTTTCCAGGGCACAGTTTTTTTATGAAGCAAAGCTGTAACCCTTCAGCCTGACAGAAAGCAGATCAGTAAGAGGAGAAGGTGTGTCAGCTGAGTGCTTCAGGCTTCTGAAGGTAGGTATGAGGTGGCAAATTGCCTCCCACTTTGCTTCCAGTGTGCTGAACAGGAGAATGAGGTGGCAGGAAAGATTGCAGCACTTGAAAAAGTGACTGTGTACAGAATGGATTATAGTGATGTAAAAAGCCTCTGTCATCCCAATGTCTGTGCATCAGACTGCACTGAAAGGGGAAGCCTGGGAAAATCAAGAAAATACACTTTAACTTTGTCAATGAACAAATTAATCCCATTGCATTTTCCTAAAAGACATTTGTGTTTCTTCTTGTACCACAAAACAAGTAACTTTTACAGAACAATTTGCACAAGAGGAAGTTCCCTTCTGGGACAAATTCACCAGGCAAAAATCTGCTTCTTCCAGGAACTGGGGGCCGAACTTTGGCTGCTGCTCCCCAGCTCTTAGAGAGATGTGGCAATGTTTGCTGTGGGTACCAGGCCTGAAATATCAGCAGTGATATCATGTGAGGAAAGGAAAATGTTCAAAACCTTGCCTCTTCATTCATTCGTGGAGCTGATATCAACAGGTGAGGAAACATGTAAATATTGTTATTTTGGGGGTTGGACGAGAAAGGAGAAGAAAAAGGCTATTTCAAGTACTACCTGCATCCAAGAAATGTGAAAAATGTTTTCTAGTAAACGACATTCCTTTCTTGTATTTAATCATTTTTCTCTCTTCCCAGAAACTTTTTAGTATGTATCAAATGATAGTGGAGACAGAAGTGAGGAAAATAAAAGGCTACACATCATTATTTTCCTACTGAATCTAGCAGATTTACAAACAAACAGTCACCAAAATGGTAAGAAAGAATTGTATCCTGTACAAGTTTAAATAATTAGAAAGGGGAGTTTTGTTGAAGACAGGTTTGCATTTTCAGAGAGCTAGGCAGTTTCTTAAGACTAAGATTAAGAGATCTGACAAAATGAAAGTTACAGAAAAGATCAACATATTATCACCATGATATGTTGATAAAATAATGCAGTTTGGTTTTGCTAGAGACCTTTTACATTTATAAACATGGATAATATTTCTGGATTTTTAAAAATTTTGTGATTTTTTTTTTCCAGAATTGTTCTAAGCATTTATTATGAACAGCACATCAGAGACGAATTCTTACCTGAACTCATGTTTGCCAGATACACACTGCTCTCTATCAGCGAGGAGTATGGTTGCTCATTTTGCAGCAAAACTCCTGCAGCCATTGCAGTACCTGTTGAAACAATAAAATAATCACTGAAAACCTACAAGAGAAGCTCAAAAAAAGGCAGAATAAAGCCATGTGCTCCTGGTTATGGAGTCATTGATGATTTGGGCAGTCAGGCATGGGCTGGTACTTGATAGACAGTCTGCACTCCACGGCCCTCTGCTCTCTTCCCTGTACTCTTGGGCTTTGGAATCACATCTGTCACAATTCTCCTCTAACAAGAAAACTGAACCTACTACTCTCTCCAGGCAGAAACAGATTTTTTTTCTCTACTGTTATTTCTAATAGAAGGTAGGTCCTGTTCTGAAGGCCTTCTATCTGACAGAAAGATAAGGCAAGCTGTAAATATGAACACAGTAGTCAGTCTGTGATGTTTAAATAAACACTTTGCATGGCTCTTGAGTGGAAATTCTTACTCAGTATAAGATCACCTTTCTGTTTCTCTTATCTCTATAGAAAAATAGCTGCAAGCATAACAAAAAAGAGCAATTTTTATACCAAACTAATCACATCTATACTGAATCATTAACTACAGAAATTTTGCTAAATAGACAAACCTTGGGTTCCCAAGACTGCAAAAGCAGTATTATGATTCAGCAGCATAAATAGGGTTTTAAAAGACAGATTTGCTAAAAAATATATATATAAAAATAGGAGTCCTGTGGGGATTAGGTGATAAAACAGGCCTGTGTGGTGCTAACTGCTTGCTGTTCATTGTCCAGCTTTTATCTCTAATTTTGCAAAATTATTTTTGTAGTAAACTTTTAAATAAAATTTATTCATCCAGATATTACATTATCTATGACATACTTGAATAAATTATTCTTTCAGCAATGCTAATGGACTTTATTGCACAAAGTCACCCAGTGCAGCTCTGTTCTTTTCAAGATCCTTAATGATGGGAAGAGATCACAGATCCACATTAAGAACCCTTTCACAGAGCTGCACCAGTCCTCTCAAAGGGATGAGAATTACATTTGTCAGCAAAAGACAAAAAGCATTCTGAAACATCAGAGATGCTCAGAAATGCATCTCTAATTTAAGTATGTTAAGAAGAATATTAATCAAGAATGCTCTTTAATAAAGATTAAAAGGGTATCTGGAACATTTTCTACTCAACTACTTGACCATCTGACTCTATATTCTGAAAAGTCAATCCTTTAATAAAGTACCTTCATATAACTGCATTCTATTTGGAGAAGCTCCAGAACCTCTATTTTTTTTTTTTTTTAAATGGATTTTGAAATCAAAAAGTGATGGCTTCAGTTATCGGAGGAAACTTTGAACCTAAAGAAAGAACTTCATTTTATCTGCAGAATTTCTTTTTTAGAGTTAAGAATGCTGAATTAACAAAAATTATTGGTTTCTATTTCTCAGAAAGTTCTCTTCAGAATTCCTAAGTTTGTCCAGATAATATTTGAAAAAGATATCTCATCATACTGACAGCAGAATCACCACCACTATGACTATTTAGTTCTCCTATTTCCTTGTACTCAAGTGATTAAAAAAAAAAAAAGAGATTAAATATCAGGGATATTTCTATCTAGTTTTTTGGTTTTTTTTTTTTTTTAATACCCAGGAATCAGATAAGAACTCAAGAACTCTTAACTGGAAAGGGATGAGATGGAGCTTAATGCAGAGGAAAATATACCTAGAGTATGACAAAATACTAGCAAGATTCTTCTAAGCGGCAGAGGTGAGCTCTGTTTTTCTTTGATGTCTAACCGATTTTATTTCATTAATACACCAAATCCATAATTCCTGTGCTGCCCAACTGACCTGAATATTTTGCCTGTGCCTTTCAGTTTGCAAAACTTGACTGACAGCTCAGTGCAATCAATGGGAGCAATTCCCTTATATTTACTTCTGAAAAAAAAGTTAGGAATTTTGTGACAAATGACTTTGCTGACTTACACTGCACTTCCTCAGACAGGTGTAAGGTGGTAATTTGGGACAGGTCACAGAATAATAATGAGGCTGGAAGAGACCTCGAAGATCAAGTCCAACCTATGCCCTAACACCACAACTAGACTACAGCAACAAGTGCCAAGTCCAGTCTTTTTTTAAACATATCCAGAGATGGTGATTCCACCACCTCACTAGGAAGACAATTCCGGTATTTTATTATTCTTTCAGTGAAAAACTTTTTCCTAATATCCAACCTAAACCTTCCCTGACGTAGCTTGAGACTGTTCTGCTAGTTGCTGCCCAGTGGAAGAGATTGACCCCCACCTGTCTGCAGCCTCCCTTCAGGAGCTGTAGAGAGCAGTAAGGTCACCTCTGAGCCTCCTCTTCTCTAGGCTAAACAACCCCAAGTCCCTCAAACGTTCCTTGTAGGGCTTGTGTTCCCAGCCCCTCACCAGCCTCGTTGCCTCCTCTGGACGTGCTCAAGCATCTCAATGTCCTTCCTGAACTGAGGGCCCAGAACTGGACACAGCACTCAAGGTGCGGTCTCACCAGCGCCGAGTACAGGGGAAGAATGACCTCCCTGCTCCTGCTGCTCACACAATTCCTAATGCAGGCCAGGAGCCATTGGCCTTCTTGGCCACCGAGGCACACAGCTGGCTCATATCCAACCGGCTGTCCACCAGCACCCCCGGGTCCCTTTCTGCCTGGACACTGTCCAGCCACACTGTCCCCAACCTGTAATGCTGTAGGGGATTTTTGTGTCCAAAATGCAGAACTCGGCACTTAGACTTAGTAAACTTCATGCTGTTGGACTCTGCCCATCCGTCCAATCGATCCAAATCTCTCTGCAGAGCCCTCCTTCCTTCCAACAGATCAACACAAGCTCCCAGCTTAGTATTTCTGCAAATTTACTAATGAAGGATTCAATGCCCTCATCCATGTCATCAATAAAAATATTCAATAGAACTGGTCCCAGCACAGAGCCCTGAGGGACACCACTGGTGCCTGTCCCCAGCTGGATGCAGCACTGCTCACCACCACTCTCTCACCGGCCATGCAGCCAGTTCCTAACCCAGCCAAGGGTGCTCCCAATCCAAGCCATGGCCTGCCAGCTTTTCCAGGAGTGTGCTGTGAGCAACAGCATCAAAGGCCTTGCTGAAATCTAAACAGACAACATCCACAGCCTTTCCTGCATCTACCAGACGAGTCACCTGGTCATAGAAGGAGACCAGGTTGGTCAGACATGACCTACCCTGTGTAAACCCATGCTGACTGGGTCTGATACCCTGGCCATCTTGTAAGTGCTGTGTGATAGCACTAAGTATGAACTGTTCCATTATCTTATCTGGTACTGAGGTCAGGCTAACTGGCCTGTAATTACCAGAATCCTCCTTCCTGCCTTTTTTGTGAATGGGTGTCACATTGGCCAGTTTCCAATCATCTGGAACCTCACCAGTGAGCCACGACTCCTGATAAATGATGGAGAGCAGCTTCACAAGCACATCTGCCAGCTCCCTCATCACCCTAGGGTGGATCCCATCTGGTCTCATTGATTTATAAATATCCAAGTGTCCCAGTAGTTCTCTGTCTCCTCTTGGATAACAAGAGGACCATTCTGCTCCCTGCACCACCTACCAACCCCTGAGGACAGTTGTCTTGAGGACAAGCTGCCTTACCACTAAAGACTGAGGCAAAGAAGGCATTAGGTATTTCCGCCTTTTCCTCATCTTTAGTTACTAGGTTGCCTGCCTCATCCAATAAAGAACCGGGGTTGGTTATACCCTTCCTTTTACCATAAATATATTTGTAAAAACTTTTTTTATTATTTTTAACAGAAGTTGCCAAGTTAAGTTCAAACTGAGCTTTGGCCTCCCTAATGTTTTTCCTACATGCCCTAGCAGCTCCCTTAAATACTTCCTGAGAAATCAGTCCCTCCTTAAAGAGATGATACATTTTTTTTTTTATTTCTAAGTTCCTTCAAAACCTCATTTCTCATCCAGACTGGACGTTTGCCTCTTCGACTCATCTTTCGGCACACAGGAACAGTCTGTTCTTGTGCCCTCAAGATCTCTGCTTTGAAGCACACCCATCTCTCCTGGACTCCTTTGTTTTCAAGGGCTCTTTCCCAAGGAACTCTCTGAATAAGTCTCCTAAATAGGCCAAAGTCTGCCCTCCAGAAGTCCAGTGTAGAGATCTTATTGATATTCCTCCTTATTTCACCAATTATCGAGAATTCTATCATTTCATGATCACTGTGCCCAAAGCGGCCTCCAACCTCCACATCACCCACCAGTCCATCTCCATTTGTGAACAACAAGTCTAACATAGTCCCTCTCCTGGTGGGCTTGCCCACCAGTTGTGACAAAAAATTATCCTCCACACACTCTAAAAACTTTCTAGGTCAGTGCTGCTGTTCCCACAGAGGGGCATTACATTTCTGCACCAATAAAAAGTGTGCTAGAAGTAAAAATAGTGCTTAGGTTAAAGCAGTAGCTCTCTCCTGCTTTGCCTCTGTACCAGATATTCTTGATTTTTAAAGACATTCTTCAGCATTTTGCTCTTATCATGAAAGCTTAGTAGCTGTGGAAGGCATGGCCTGGAGCGCTATTCCAGGTCACGGTGCCATGAGCTGCCTGAGGAGTTCCGTACCTTGGGGCAATCCCCTTAATCAGCTCTGCTGCTCCATCTCTGCCGTGCATCTCTATTGCCATGACAGCAGAGAGACCGCCCCTTAATCCCAGCTCCCTGAGCGAAGGAGAGGAACGGGATCTCCTGTGCTGGAGTCACGTCTCTGTCCGGTCCCTGAACTTCCACCTCTGTTCTAGCACAGGCAGTGGTGCCATCCAGCGAGCAGGAACACCCCAGCTCCTGACACCAAACACTGGGAAATATGCCTGTGCTGTCAGCTGGCAGAAGTCCAGAGTAGGACCACACTGCCCAAGGAATCTCTTGGAATCCTCATGCCAAACACTCTGGGTATTTCAAGAGCTCCCCTCCAGCTGTGGGTTTGATATGTGCTTTGATGTTTGTATGCAGTTTTGAGTTGCCTTTCCTTTCCCCCCACTTTTGAGCTGAACAATTTCTACCAGAAGGGATTTCTGTCTCCTGTTGCACTGGATTCACATGTTGCATTTGGAAACATGACAGCTGCCACAGCCCACTCGCTGCTGCACACATGCAGGGGTGCATTTCCTGCAGGGGATGCAGTGTGGACACCTCGTGCCACCCCGGATGAGGTTGCTCTGGGCATCCACCTTCTCAGCAGTGAAGCCTGTTGCCCAGGGCCATTTCCTCTGGAATAAGGGCCATGCTCTTCGTAAAGTCACAGGGGAGCAGCACGGTGGCACACAGGCAGCAGGACAGCTGGGACATCGGGGGTCCCACGGAGCAGTTCCATGCTCCTTCCAAAGGCCACCTTCCACAGGCAGCATCCCTCACTGGCTCTCGGGAGCCAGCTGCAGGACAGACACAGCAAACCAGCATTGTGGTTTGCAAATGAACAACTCTGCCTTGTCACAAAAAAACATTCCTTTCTGGTATTTCAAGATCTGGAAACCAGTGGTGTCCAGTGGCTGGGCTGAATTTTTGCTCCAGACTGAAACGAGAGAAGCAATGTCCATTATTGCAGCAGCCTGAAAACAATTATATGTCAAAAAGTGAGGAGACAAGAAGATCTGGTCTCACTCTATCTTGGCAATGAGGATGGTTATTTAATAAATGCAATTGCTACCTTTTACTTCAGAATATGTTTTCAAACAGAGAGAAGCGCTTGCATTCCCAGGTGGAAGGATTCCAGTTAGGACAATGTAGCTGCCAGCATGGACAGTAATCCCATTTTAAGGCTCCCCACTGTGTCCCTGTGCACCTATCCACAAATAGTGAGGGCCCAGATCTTTAATTCCTGTGACTTTGGTAAACAAGGATGCCAAAGCAGACCACACACTTAAAAAGATTACCCGTATGTGTTAACATGCAAAAAATGTAGTATGTTTTCCATTTAAAATATCAATACATGGGAAAAAATTAATTTAAACCTCCAACAGATTCATACAATAGAGGCAATGCTGATGCTTAGGCCTGTCACATGAAATTCTGAGGTTATTTTTACTGTTTTATTGTCTTCTAAAGTGAATTTGTTCTCTCCCTGTTGCAGTCATGTGTAACTAACCACCTAGCAGCCAAATTTTTAAAGGAACATAGTGAGCTCACTGCAGGTAGGGGTGAGCATAGCTTAGTACCTAAGCACTTGGCTGACACCTTTAAAATTTCCTGTGGCCTAATTCTGGAAGTACTTGAGAAGCTTTGCTTTTGTGAGCAGTCCCACAGAAGTCAACAGAATGTCTAAATATAAGATCACATGGGATAAAGTTTCACTGCCAAAATGCAAAATCCTGTAAACAGCACTAATGGAGATGTTTCAGGCAGATGACTAAAGATAACTTAGATGATTAACACTAAGTAAAAATAGGATAGTGTAGTGAGGACTGGGTATATTTAATACAGTGGTTAAGAGCTACTAAATTATAACCTTGTCTCTCAGTTCAGGCTTTGAATCTGATGCTTTAAGATTGACAGATCATGAGAGTTTCTAGCAAAAAATCTTCTAAATTGGCTGAGACAGGTTAGTCACTGGTACAGGAAGCACTGGTAAATGAAATTGCATTTTAAATTACCATAGACTATCTAATTTTAACATTGCCAGGAATAACAAAGCATTTCTAAAGGTTTGTAAAGAAATTATGATAACTGAGGGTTTTGCTAAACTTGATTATTATGATTAATGAAACAAGATGCAAAGGTTGTTGTTCTAATGCCTGTACCAGTGAAAAAGCTCACTGGGAACAGATATTTCATGAATGCTTAATCTACAGTTTAACCATGGTCTGGAAGGCAGTTTTAGCACTGAGCACACATCTTTTAGTAGGCACACACCCCAATTCCCAAGGTGCTTTAAAAAGCTCAATTATTTGAAATTTGAAATGTTTACTACCTGTAAGCAAACACCAAAACACTAGAAAAGCAAATAAACACACGGACAAAGGACAGAGAAAAGACTAGGTAAAAATATAAACAAATTTTCATATGGTTCAGTTATACAGTATTTACACAGCAGGATGATACTACAGCTGCTGTGAAATTCCAGGGGTTTCACACTGGAACCACAACCAGAACAGGATTTGTTATTTCTACCTGTCTTTTACCCTCTTTGGGAAAAAAAATATTCCCCATTTGTCTTTGTGCAAGATTCATGTCATATAATCATCATGTACAAATGAGACAATACAATTCATTAAAAGATTATGTAGGTGCTGGTTTGGTGATTCAGTCTTTGCTGTTCATAGATTTTTTGACATAAACAGCAAGAAACTGCAAGCTAAACTGATGGACAAATCTCTCAACTGACTTGAGCCATGTTATTTAAATCACTTCTTTCTGTGGCAGTGCTAACCTAATAGTTAACAGATGATATTTTAAACTACCTTGAACAGGCTGGCAGGCAGTAATTACTAGAGAGACTCATCAAGGCAATGGCATAAAGTGAATATATTAACTGTTCTACAAACAAAAATGCTGGCTCTGAGACCCTTGATCATGAGCATCATGTTTACCAAGAGACTCTCAGACTCATCACAGTGACTACACGCAGAAGAATGAAATACTGTAAGTAATTGTCAGCATTCTAACAGTACTCAAGTGCAAGTTCAAAAATTATCTCTGCAAGTTAGAGGATTTTACATCTAATACAGTCAAAACGATAGCAAATTTACATGAGCTTTAATAGTTTTAGTAATTTCAGTGTAACACCTTACCTGTTACCCTGCAAAATGAATGAGTGAGTGCTGATCCCTTCATTGCTGCAGTATGAACCACAAGAAACATGATGTAGGGCAGTCACGTTTTACAGAGAAGCTGAATGAATTCCCCTGGTGTTTCCTGTTGCTAATAGGATCGGGGATGGTAATCTGGGAGGAGCCAGCAACGATCTTTTCTTAACCTGAACTGTGCGGGGAGTGCCTCGGGGACTATGCAGATAATCATCCCTAAACTGCTTTCTTCGTCTGCTTGGCCTTTAAAGAGATTGAGGCAAACAGGCCACACCAGCCTGATGTTCTAATAACTGACTCTCCCAGCTCTGCTCTTCCTGTTCAACTCATTTCCTATTAGCAACAAGTAAACTGGTATTTATTTGTGTATGTCTACATGCACCAGACAAACACAGAGCCACAGAGAGAATTTTGTGAATTGAGATTAATTACACTGATAGACTGATTTTGAAATGCCATGACAAGAGAATTACACGGAAATGTTCCATTGTTATCTGCATAAACCATTTCTTCTTACCCAGCAAAAGCACAGAATGTCATGGAAGTATTTTTAGCAAGTATAAATTAACTGCATTAATGTCTCAAAAATGTAATAAAAATTCATATAAATATAATCAAATGTAATCAACTAAAAATGTAATCAACTAAAAACATAATCAAGTAAAACCTAAAGATTTTGTTGATTTAATACTTGATAAATGAAAAATGCAAATAAAATATGATACAAAATCTTATTCTAGCTTTAAAATAGATCGTATCTCAAAATCAGTTTCAAGCACTAAGTAGTAGCTGATGAAAAATAAGGGCTTTCATCTATTCCAATCACTTCCCTGCATGTCTTGTTAAAAAAACCCTTCCATTAATGAAGGTAGGGATTAATTTAAAATACCTCCCAATTACTTAGAAACAAAGTATCCTTAAAATTAAAATCCAACCCAACCTGTTCTGTGATTTTAAGTCCGTGGGGAAAAAAAAAAAAAAAAAGAAATGAAGATGGGACTTGAAAAGATATGTACACCATTTGGGAAAAGCCACTAAGGTACCTTGGCTGAACAGATTGTGGAGTCTAAAATCCTCTTTTGCACGCTGTTATGAACAAAAAGGCCTTCCTGGTTCCCATGGCAATATGGGGACACTGCTGGCTTGAGCTAAGTACTGATACTGAAATGTGAATTAGCTAATTGCTCCTGGGGATCACCTACACACCCCTCCCACACTGCCACTCTAGGACTGGGATGCAAAATACAGGGACCAGTGGAATGATGGGAGGGGGTTTGGGGGATGAAAACACCCCTCAGTGGAAGGCTGGGCACAGAGGAGGGGGCTGGATGGGTGCGCTGGCTGGGGAAAAGGGAACCACATCCCTGGTCTGTGTCTGACCTGTCACCAGAGCTGCCAGAGGACTGGACTGGGCTGTGGGAAGCAGGAACAAGGGAGCAGCTCTTCCCGGTGTTACCAGGAGGGAAGGAGGGGGGACAGCTGCTGCTGGACTTCAGCAACAGGCTCTGCACATCCCCCCACCCTTCAGCTACCAGTGTGCCGGGAGGAAAGGAGAGACTTCAGCTACAGACTGCACACCTCTGTACCCTTCAGCTACCAGTGTGCCACTCCAGGGACAGACTCTGCAGCCTTCTCCCCCTTCGGCTACCGGGAAAAAGCTACAACAGAGGGGGTGAGCTCCGTGTCGAGCCCCCTGCCCAGCTGATCTTTTTAATAAAGAGCTGAACATTAATAAAGGCATAAACCCTGTTCATTTCACACACCTTTCTTTAGTGTGTTGGTAGAAGTTTCAACCACAAAAGGACCAAGCAGCCACAGGTTCCCTAGCCTGCAGCTGTGACTGGGGGGTTCAGAACCTCCAAAACTGAACCCATGTGGGTTCCCAGAGTGTCAGGAGCTGGTGTCCAGTGCCACTGCTGCAGCAGCCCTGCCCAGGGCCAGGGCCCAGGCACACTGACGCACTCACTCGTGTCCGGTGCCACTGCTGCAGCAGCCCTGCCCAGGGCCAGGGGACAGGCACACTCAGGTGTTGGTGAGAGCAGAGCCCCAGCAGAACAGTGAAGACTTCCTGGGAATGACAGACCTTCAGCAGGAATCTGTATTGGAAATGTGGGGTAGAAAGAATCAGAGGTCAGCTAGAATGAAATATAAATTGTACAGTGAAATAAATCTGCTCTTTGCATTTGAGCTGTGGTTTGAGGGTAGCCCTTGGTTACCTCTTTGGGTCAATTCACACAACAGGAACAGCCCCACAGCAGCACTCCGTTTCACATTGTTCACTCACTACAGAAGTGGCTCTAGAAATCTGGATCTATGAATTAGGAGTAAAGGGATACATGTATTTTCCAAATGTCAGTACACTAAAATGTGTTAACAAATGGAGCATCTGGCAAAACATTTTGTAGGAGGAGCTGGAGGAAGCTGGTATCATTTTAGTTGACTAAAGAACAAAGAGCAGCTTCAGATAACTAATAAATATTAATTAAATTCTTAATATAGGCATACTCTTTGGGGGAAGTTCTGAATGTTCATATATGAGAAGCTGGCAGTTACATACCTAAGTTTAATTTCCATGTGGGTAATATAACATTTTTTACCTATTTGATTCCAGAGGGGGGTTAATCTTTGAAGGGTTTGGATTCCTGGTGCAACAGCCTCTGCTTTGCTATGTCCACTTGTAGATGTCAGAGATTTGCTGGCTATCCCTTTATCTGTTCCTACATTTGTACTCCTCACTGTTAATGACACTTTGTTCAGCTGAGGAACTAATATTTTCTAGTGCTCTGTAGAGTTAGCCAAACGTGTTTGTTCAAACAGGACGTGCCACTGTATTTGAGTCAAGACAAGGCTTTGGGCTAACTGAGGGTGACTTTTTGGGAGAATTAACCTACAGGCTAAAATAATTTGCTATTTCCAAGGAAAGAATACACAGAGTAAGTGGTATGCTAATGACTAAACTAGCAATATTCATGTCTCTAGGCTTGGCATTTTCCTGTTTCAATAAAATGAAGAATCCCAAGTCATCTAGAAAATTCTGCTGAACTATGATTGCCATTTAAAGATACCAAGAAGTGTTTTAAGTAAGTAGAACAGGATCACTGGGCTTCTGGCAGCTTTTCTTGCACTGCAGGAGCTGCCTCATGGCTACTTCACAGCAGACATAGCAAATCCACCTGTCCTGTGACCTTAGGTACAGGTTTATCAGATTATGCAGGCAGGAAAGTGTCTAAACTGCCTCATTAGAATGTCTGACCACTGCCTACACTGCACTGTTTTCAGTGGTACATAGACAGAATCAAAACATCACATTATCCTAAAACCTAAAGCTGACTAAAACCTAAGATTCATTTTTGTTTAATACAAACTGTGTGTTTGGATTCCTAGCTGGCTTTGGGCATTTCCAGCTTCTCCTTTTGCTTTTTGCTCTTCTCAGCATTTGGATCATAAACATCAATTAACGTTTTATTTTCAGCCTGCATTGAAACTCTGCAGGGGAGGCTTTAGCTTTGTGTAACTTTACCACGATATACATGTTATTGAAGAATTTCTGTAAGTTCTGCTTTTAGATATTTTACATATATATTTATATATATACACATATAATTTCTTTTTTGTTCATTAAGCATAATGCTATACCATCACAAATCAATCACAAGAGCAAACTCAAAGCCTTTGGCAGACCTCAGCTTTACCAGCAGTGTTACAGTTGTGGGAGAAATGTACATATTTAGCTGCTTAATGAGATCTCATAGCAGCAGCCCACCTGTGATCCCTGTCCTCTTTCATCAACTCCACTTCTGACAGTCTCTCTTTTTCTGTTGATTCCACTGTTACCTAAAATTGCCAGTAAAGGTCAAAATGTAGTGAAATGTTAGGTAAAGGCAGCAAAGTAATATGAAAATTCCAATTCAAAAGACAGTTCCAAAACTGAAGAGTTGTATCATGTGTTATTTAAAGGTCATTCAATGGACTTAAAATGCAAAAGGTGACTACACATCTAGGAAAATAGTGCAGAACCACTTAAACTAGATCTAGCTAGAAAAAGGAAAGCTCTGATTTATGAGACAACTATCTTCTCCATGTCAGATTTCCCAGTTTCTAGGCAACTCCTCTCACCTATAATTTTACTGCTATTACACAAAATGAAATAGTCATAATGGTATAACTGCATCTATGATGAAGTGAAATATTTACTTAAACATGTGGAATAAAAGCTTTTCAGGTCGGTTTGTGTGTCCAGACAAGCAAGTACATCATGAGAGAGGACTACATTGCTAATTGTCAGATACTCTCGCAGCAGCTGGCCCTGCAGACTGTCTCCCTCTCTCACTTCATCTTGCCTTAGACATGCAGGTACTCTCTATGTCTCACATAAACTACTGATGGGAACAGGAGATGGAAAAATCACAGAATCCCAGGATGATTTGGCTTGAAGGGATCTTAAAGCCCATCCAGTCCCACCCCTGCCATGGCCAGGGACACTTTCCACGGTCCCAGGGTGCTCCAAGCCCTGTCCAACCTGGCCTTGGACACTTCCAGGGATCCAGAGCAGCCACCACCTGAATCACAGCCTGAAAATGCTTTCAAGCAATACAAAAGTGCAAACACATTTATATTGTAGAAATTATTTTGGGATTAATTCCTCCACAGATGTGAAGCTCGGTGTTGCTCAGTGGTGTGAAGGACTCACAAAAATACATCTCAGAAAAGCAAAAGCAAGGGATCTGTGCAAAGAGAAAACACTGAACTTTAGATTATTAAAATATCAGGTAACTGTTAATCTTTTTATTATTCCTCTGAAGAGTGTAGTGACAGTCTGTAGCAAAAAGCAGTAATAGCTACATCTAAAAGCTACTATTGTGTGGATTGACCTATCCATTGAGATCCCTCAAAAGGGACTGACTGAGCTGCATTTTTCAGGGTGACTGAAAAATGATTAGAAATGGGGAAAAAACTACAAAACATGAAGACACTGATGAGAAGGGGAAAATCAGTTTTCATTGCACTACCTCGCTGTCATTCATGAACCTCTCTCTCCCTGACAGCTGTGGGCCTTTATGAAAGTAAAACTACACAGATCATTTATTACACTGAAAGCATTTTGAGGTGGATTCAGGGGGATTCAGGGGGTGGCAGCCCCATCCCTGGAAGTATTCAAGGCCAGGCTGAACGGAGCTTGGAGCACCCTGGGACAGTGGAAGGTGTCCCTGGCCACGGCAGGGGGTGAGACGCGATGAACTTTAAGGTCTCCTTAAGCGCAGACCAGCTTGGGCTGCTGTGATTCGGTTCTGTGACTATTCAGCAGCGGGTGGCAGAGGGGCTGTACCACCGCATATGCCCCGGGGGACCACAGGTCGTTCTCGGCCCCAGCCGGTGCCGGGCACGGCCCGGAGGCAACAGAAGGAGCCCGGAGAGCCGTACGGGACCGCGGCGGGGTCTCAGTCTTTAACAGAGGGGCCAGGCCGAGCAGCGAGAGCGGGGCTGCCCCACAGCCCGGGAGTGCCCGGCGGGGCGGGGAGCTGTGAGGAGGGCACGGGGCGTTGTGAGAGGGGCGCGGGAGGGCGCGGGGCGTTGTGAGAGGGGCGCGGGGCGCCGTGAGGGGCGCGGGGCGTTGTGAGAGGGGCGCGGGAGGGCGCGGGGCGCCGTGAGGGGGGCGCGGGGCGTTGTAAGGAGGGCGCGGGGCGTTGTGAGGGGGGCGCGGGGCGTTGTGAGAGGGGCGCGGGGCGCCGTAAGGAGGGAGGGGCGCCGTGAGGAGGGCGCGGGGCGTTGTGAGAGGGGCGCGGGGCGTTGTGAGAGGGGCGCGGGGCGCCGTGAGGGGCGCGGAGCGCTGTGAGGAGGGAGGGGCGCCGAGCGCTGTGAGGAGGGCACGGGAGGGCGCGGGGCGCCGTGAGGAGGGAGGGGCGCCGTGAGTAGCGCGGGGCGCTGTGAGGAGGGCGCGGGGCGCCGTGAGGAGGGCGCGGGGCGTTGTGAGAGGGGCGCGGGGCGCCGTGAGGGGGGCGCGGGGCGCTGTGAGGGGAGCGGGCAGGGCGGGGCGGGGACACGGACACACCTCACCTGCAGGGCCGCTGGAGCCGCTCCGCCGGCACCGCCCCGTGCCGCTGCGCATGCGCGGGGTGGGACCGGGAACGGTGGAGTCGGGATCGGGATCAGCGGGGTCGGGATTGGGATCAACGGGGTTGGGATTGGGAAATAGCGGGCTCGGGAAATAGCGAGGTCAGGATCAGCGGGGTCGGGATTGGGAAACAGCGGGGTCGAGGAGCAGCGGGATTGGGAAAGGCGGGATGCGGGGGAACGCGCATGCGGGATCGGGAAAGGCGGGGAGGGGCAGCCGAGAGGGGTGCGGGGGAGCAGCGGGAGCGGATTCGGGGAAGGCGGGAGCGAGCGAGATCGGGAAAAGAGAGCGGCAGGTGAGGGTCTGGGGCAAGTGTGCGTGTTTGGGTGTGTCTGTGTGAATATTTATATTAAACTGTGCCGTTTTACTGACACAGTTTAATGTTTAATCGTTGGCCGTTGGGTTTTAATGGTTAGAGGTCGGGAATTTAATTGAAAATGTCCAAATGACCGTGTTTTCCAGGTGCCTACAGGTGGAGGTGCGGTCGCACTGACACCCCGAAGGTTTCAGCTTCAAACCCCTGCACCATCCACATCTCAGCAAGGATTTTATCAAGGAGATGCCACACAGACACAGGTCTGGGTTTTGAGAGACTTAGCTGAAGATTTTTGATAGGCATGAAAGGCAATTTAGGTCTTGGATACAGAGCAGAATAGGTTCGTAATGGTTTATTTTAATACTGGAGTTGAATATACAGTCGCTGATTAAAGGAGGAGCGAGAGCCATAAACCTCTGCACACGTCAGTGAGCTGGGGTGGAACATCTGTCCAAGGGTCAGCAGAGTGTTCTTGGAGTGCTTGCCTGCTAACAGACTTAGGAAGTTTAAATTGTGGTTTTCAAGGTACTCACAGACTTCTAGCAGTGTTCTTTGTCTATCTCATTAGCCACATTAGTACACTAACGCCTAGAATTAGCGTCCCTAGTATATCAATTACTTAAACACTAGCAGGGTTTACATACTTTAGACTTCTTTTAAAGATAAAAACAGGTTTGGGAACTTTGTGGAAATGCCGAAAAGAATTCTGTCACTCCTTTCTGCTAAGCTGAAGGAGTTGTCAGCATAGGAGACACATGGCTTTCTTCTTAAAATGTGTCAATCCCATCAGTACTGAAGTGTCTTAAATATGTCTTGATTTTTGTCAGCATAACATATTCCTACAATAATATCGATTTATAAACTAAAAAACTAAAAATGGTTGTGTGATTCCTCCTTCTGTCTTCCTCCAAAAGATTTGAACAGGGTTTCCCTGTGTCTGCCTATGAGAAAACGTTATTAAAATTTACAAGTTTCATTTTCTAAATAAACTGCAGGGAGCACATTAAGTGTTTGTCCCACAGAGAGAGATTTGTGCCTTTGCCATCAATTATCATTCTCATGTGTTTAAGGTTTGACTGGCTTGAACTTGGAAGGCTGAGCATGGCTATGATCACACCATGTGATCTGTTCCCGAACTTTGTGTTTATCATTACATAATTACATGAATAAACAATCTTTTGCATGCTTCACAAAGAATTTGTAAAATTCATAGAAGAAAGCAAAGCTCTCTTTGTTTTGTTGTAAAGATGCAACCACAAAGGCATGAAAATAAATGCTGTCTTTGCTCTTTCTTGTCTGAAATAAGGAAAAATTTGAGGTTTTCACCACAGTCTGTCCTTGGTTGGGCTCATGGTGCAGCTGCACAAACACTTGTGCCTGTGCAGTGCTGCAGAGAGGGCAAGGCTGCTTCTGTCACAAGCTGAGCAGGGACAACCTCTCAGGACCATGGCACAGAGAAATCCATGCTTCTGGAATGCTCAGAAAAGTTGTATTTTGAATTATAGGGGGGTTTTACTTCAGAGAATGAACCAGCAGAAAACTCAGTGAAGCTGAGCATGGGGGGCAGTCTCCCAGGTACAGCCAGGAAAAAGAGCTTTCCTTAGAGAGAAAAACTCCAGGGGTGAAAAGGGGAAAGGGACAATTCTTGCTTTCCCAGAAGTGTGAGTTGGGGTTGGGTGATGATCCTGGGGGCACAATGACTCTCTAATGCTGCAGGGCTGAGTTGGAGCCTGACACCGAAGGAACAGATCCAGGGAAACTGAGCCTGCCACCCCAGGTCTGCCCAGACCTTTCCTGGCTGGAGTTGATTTCACATCAGCCTGTGCCACCATGTGGCAAAGGATCACGGTGCACAGCTCCTCTCCCAGCCCCGAAACACTTCTTGTAATGCTTTGCCTTTTTTCTGTGTTCCTGGGATTGCTGGGGGCCGAGGGGCAGGGTGGGTTTCATCTGCGAGGTTCCTGAGCTTCATCTCGGCAGCTCCTGTGTCGCTTGGAAATCCCATGGATTCAGAGTGGTGGTGGTCTGCGCTGTGATGTTATTCCAGCACTAAGTGTGCTTTGGAGCCCGCTTTTCTGAGCATTTCCTGATTCCAGCCAAGCAGGTAACTGAAGTATATGGGGATAATCCATAAAGTGGGGTATGAAATCTTTAACCTTTTGCCTTCCTTTTTTCATCAGAATTGCTCAGGGTCCTTTCTTCCCTTGCTCAAGCACCAGGATTGGCAGCCTTCCAGTGCTTTAAGGGAGAGAGGTACTTTTTATCTGGGCAGATAGTGACAGGACAGGAGATAATGGCTTTAAACTGACTTAGGCCAGATATAAAGAAGAAATTCTTCCCTGTGAGGGTGGGGAGGCTCTGGCACACGGTGCCCAGAAGCAGCTGTGGCTGTCCCTGGATCCTTGGAAGCGTCCAAGGCCAAGTTGAGAGGGCTTGGACCCAGCTGGGATAGTGGAAGGTGTCCCTGCCCATGGCAGGGGTAGAAGTGGGTGGGCTTTAAATGTCCCTTCCAACCGAAATCATTCTGTGATTCCATAATTCTGTGATTTGAACACTTTATTCCACTTTTTGTTTCTTGCCATCCCATTCACTCCCAGGGGATAGCAGTGTTCCTTTCTAGCATAAACACAACCTTTACAGAGATGATTCAGGTTTTCTTCGGGAGCCTTTCATTTGCAATGTTTATGCAGACACATCGTGCATTGTACAATGTCTCTCTTGTTTGCCATGAGCATCAGCGTGGTGGGAAGGCAACAAAAGACTCCGAGGGATATCCAGCAGATGTAAGGAAACAATGCTAGCAGCAGGAGAAAGTAGCTAGAGAGGCTGCTCCTGGGGCTGGACATGTCCTCAATGGGATGTGACAATCCTGTGGATTTGGTTCCCATTTCTCCTAAAAATATGCAAACGTGTCTCTGCCAAGTTACCAGTCTTCTCCTGATTCTGTGGAATTGTCTTGTTCTCACTACATTTTTTTTTCCTTGGCCTTTTTTATGGGCCTTTGTATTGAGTTTCCTTTTACTCACCTTTTTGGTCTTTATATGATTCACAGTTGTTAACTTCAAGACCTCAAAGCTCTGCTTTGGCCTTTACAGCTGTGACAGTTCACTAAGTGAGAAGTTGTTCAAAGAGAGTTAGTTATCACAAAAGGATAGATGTTTCCATAGTTTACCTTCCCCACACTTGTGATTAAAGCAATTTTTATAATTATGAACTAATAATCACCCCATGTTTTACAACATCACAGGTAAAGTAATGGGGAAAGATCTGAGTGTTTTCAGCTTCAAGTGACTGTACTTCAAAATAACGATGAAGAAATGTGATGAAGAAATTTGGAAGTCTGCAGCCTTGACTAGAGTGAATTCTTTCTCAAACGAGGGAATTGGGGAATTTTGTGACCCTCTTCTCCCTCCTGTGCATGGTGTGTCCTCCTTGCAGAAGGATGTTAACACACCAACATGGCAGGAGAGGAAGGTGTAGCTGACTGCATTTATTTCAGAAACCTGCTTTTATCATTCACCCGGGTGCAATTGTTTGGTTTCCTAAAATGAATACTTAAATATTTTTCACTTACAAAGCCTACAATGGCTGACTGTATATATTGCAGAAGGGGAGTGTTCCGATTTTAAAACAGATTTGTTTTGGCTATGGGTTTGTCTACTATCCATGGAAATGTGTGCCCACAAAAACAGATGTGGAAGCTGTCTGTCCAGAGGGTGAACTCAGGAGCCTGGTCAGTCATGCTGGAGCAACGTGGACACTTGGTTCTTTGGGGACACGAGTAGCACAATCTGAAGGACTTGCTTAGTTACAACCAACTGTTCTGGAAGTGACTTCTGAGAGTGATTTTGTTTTTAAAAAGAAATACACTGCTTTAAAATTGTAATTGCACTTGAGGAAACTGCATTTGATTCAGAGATATTATAGAAGCAATAAAGAGATTTAAAAGAAATCAGCAGTTTTCTGGCAATTATTTGCTCAGCTCAGATATTAATATTGGTTTGTTTGCCAGAACATGATCAAAAACATTTGGCAGGCAAGACTTGGTCAGGAAAGTGAGCCAGTAAAATTGAGCTGTCATCTAAGTACATGCATAAAAACTGTTCACTTGGCATGAAAAACAGACTGTTTACAGGAATAATAAACATGCCCTCAAAAATTATGTTCGTTCTCTCTAAAATCACGGAAGGTCACAAGACTTTGACCTTACAGAAGGAGCATAACACTTTATGAGACTCCTGTCAAAGCACATGATAAAAAATAAATACACTGCAATAAAGAAGTGTCAGGCTGATGGCTCAAATGTGCCTTCCTGCCGTATCCTGTCTCCTTCCCGCAGGATGTGGGGTGGCTGCTGCCAGGCCATGACAGCCCAGTTGGAGGGGAGGGCAAATCCACCCGTTCTCCTGACATAAACGTGTCAGAGTGAAATAGAAGCTATTGAAAAGCGTAATTTGCAAAGGCCCTTCTGGTGATTCAGCTGCTGGATAGAGCCTTGGACACCGGGTATGTGTGAGGAATATGCTGATTTGGCCACAGCTTGGTGGTTTCTCTGAGCCCTGAGATGGAGGAGTGAGCTCTAGGGAAGGATGGTGGCTGGCTACAGCTGGAGGAGATGTTCACCCTCTAGCCAGCTCCCCTGAGGGCAGTGGTCTCACCTGTTTGCTCCTCAGGACTTCCAGGTTCACTCTTTGTGTGGATTCCTCCTTCTGCCCCCGTAAAGCTGTTGGCTTTAATGTTCCAGTGTGAGCTCTGGCCCTGGGAGGGAGACACACCCCTCATTCTTGCACCCCAGGGAACTGGGGCTATTTGGTGGAAGAAAAGGAGGCTCAGGGGGCCCTCATCACTTTCTGTAACAGCCTGAAAGCAGGTTGTGCTCAGGTGGGTACCAGCCTCTTCTCCCAGGTAACGAGCGACAGGACAAGGCAAAGCAGCCTCAGGTTGCACTAGGTGAGGTTTAGATTGGGTATTTATAAAAATTTTCTTCACTGAAAGGGAGGTCAGGCTTTGGAACAGGCTGCCCAGGGCCATGGTGGTGGAAGTGTTGAACAGAATGTGTAGATGTGGCATTTGGGGATGTGGTTTCATGGCAGTGCTGGGTGAACCATCGGTCTCAATGATATGTTTCCAGCTTTAATGGTTCTGGGATTTTTCCCTCCCCTAATTCTTTGCACAGCCGTTACCTTTCTGCTCCTCCTGCTGCCTCTGCTGGGGCTGGCTGCTACTCTGCAGTGCCACAGGGGCACAGCCAAGGGGCTTTGCAGCTCAGTGCAGCAGGGGCTGTGCTCACCTGTGGCAGGGGTGGAAGCAGTGTGGGCTGCAGAGCCAGGGAAGCACCAGCCCAGGACTGCCTGGAGCTCCACACTGCCCACAAAGACATTGTTATCTCACTGAGCAAGATAGAAAAAGAAAGTCAAGAAACTTGAGCTCTGTTTTTTGAGGGCAGTTCAGACTCGTAGTCAGCACTGCTGTGCTTCCTGGAGATTTTACAGACTAACATGATGTCAAACAGCCCTTCTCCCTTCTTCCAGCATCCCTGGAGTTCAGAGGGAACAGAAGAGTTTCCCCACTGCCTTCCCCAGTTGCCAGAGTCCTCCTCCCACACACAGCACAAATCTAGCCAGATAAACTGTATTTTGGAAGTCCCCCAGTAGAGGTTATACATGTGCAGAACATAAAAGATACTTAAATTTATAAAGCCTGAGCTCTGTGCGTGCTGAGGTTGGGTGTGCAAGTATTTGGCTTTGGGTCTGTCTGCCCCAGCCCCACAAAACAGCTTAACCCAGAAAAAACTATCTAAAAAAAAACTTCATTTGCTGCCAGTTTAGATTCTGTTTAGTTATAACTCACAACCTCAAAACATAAGAATTAAGTTTAATTGTTCATAAATTATACAGCACACAGCACATACTGTTGTAATCTGTGCTGCACATATCTATATGAAGTATTAACACCAATGTTTAAACAATGTTTAAACAAAATACAAAGTCACCACAGGCAGCCTTAAACCTCAGCTGTACCGTTTTGCTAAACTATTTTGGCTATGGACATGATTTTTCACCCCTCTACCCTCATATGGTATTAATTCAATTGTTTTAGATGTTATACATGCGTAAGAACTAGAAGGGATTTCCTCAAACAACAAACACTGCAGATAAAAAGGTTGATGTTTAGAAGAATGTCAAACTCCAAGGCTCTTCTATGAGTTGTTAGAGGATTGCTCTCAGTGCAGACTCTGAGCCAGTCACTCAGGAGTCCTCCAGTGAGTGAAGCTAATGCTGAGTTTCCACTCCTGTGTCGTTGGTTGGGTCCCTCAACAGAGTACCAGCAGCAGGAGTGCTGAAGGGAGAACAGAGAAATTTGGATGTGGTTTAAAATATACCAAAAGTTCTTGATCATTCCGGTGTTGCGTTTGTGCTTAGGAGCTCCCTGGAAGCAGCTCCCACATGGTGCTGTTGGTGTTTCTGCTGTGGTCTGTGGCTTCCATGTGCTGAAAGGGACCTCCCTGTCACAGCTGAGCTGCTGTTCTTCCACAGCAGGGGGATGACAAGAAATCTTTAAAAGACATTGTCTTAACCTTGTTAAAAGAGGGTTTTGTATGTCTCTCCTCTTTACTTGCAGCTCTAAGCATGTTCTGGAAGGCCATGCTCTGTCCCAGGATGAGGTGGGAGAGCTTTTGGGGTCACTGGGCCGTGCCCATTCCCTGGGGAGCTGTTCAGTGCCCCAGCACCTTTTCCTGACCCCCAAGCTAGCTGTGCCTGACACAGCTCCAGCCATTCCCTCAGCTCCTGTCCCTGCTCACACAGAGGGAAGCTGGTGGCTGTGCAGATGTCCTGGTGCTGCTGGTTATATCCCAAACCTCCCGTCCCCTCCACAGCCTCCATGGAACTCACTCCAGGAGCTCCATACCCCTCCTGGCCCACGGAGCTCAGCACTGGGCTCAGCACTGCAGCTGCAGCAACCCCAGGAACGGGAAAAGGGGCAGCGGCAGCGGGGACCCGTCCGAGCCCGGTCCTGCGACACTCGGGGACAGCCGGGGACAGCCGGGGACACTCGGGGACAGCCGGGGACACTCGGGGACAGCCGGGGACAGGGAATGGGGACAGCCGGGGACAGCCGGGGACAGCCGGGGACAGCCGGGGACAACCGGGGACAGGGAATGGGGACAGCCGGGGACAGCCGGGGACACTCGGGGACAGCCGGGGACAGCCGGGGACAGGGAATGGGGACAGCCGGGGACAGCCGGGGACACTCGGGGACAGCCGGGGACAGCCGGGGACAGGGAATGGGGACACTCGGGGACAGCCGGGGACAGCCGGGGACAGCCGGGGACAGCCGGGCCACCTGCGCTCGGAGCCGCCGCCGCCAGGGGGCGCGAGAGCCGCGGGACACGGGACAGGGAATGTGGCACGGGACAGGGAATGGGACACGGGACAGGGAATGGGGACATGGTACAGGGAATGGGGCACGGGACAGGGAATGGGACACAGGACAGGGAATGGGGCACGGGACCGGGAATGGGGACATGGTACAGGGAATGGGGCACGGGACAGGGAATGGGACACAGGACAGGGAATGGGGCACGGGACAGGGAATGGGACACGGGACAGGGATAGGACACGGGACAGGGATAGGACACGGGACAGGGATAGGACACGGGACCGGGAATGGGACACGGGACAGGGAATGGGGCACGGGACAGGGAATGGGTCACGGGACAGGGAATGGGGACATGGGACAGGGAATGGGGGATACAGGAATGGGGAATGGGAGATACTGGATATGGGATACAGGATATAGGGGATACGGGGTGAGGGAATAGTGGATACAGAATATGGGATGTGGAAATGGGGGTTATGGGATACAGCCTCCTGGACACAGCAAAGGGAATGGGAGATACAGGGAACGGGAATGGGGATATGGGTTAGGGGTGTGGGAATGGGGAATACAGAGTGCAGGATAGGGGTGCGGGATAAGGGTGTGGGATAGGGTTACGGGATACAGGCCACAGGATATGTGCAGGATGGGGATGTGGGATGCAGAGTGTGGGATGGGGGTGCAGAGTGGGGTGTGGGATGTGGGGTGCAGGGTGCAGGATCACCTCAGCCCAGGAGAGAGGCTGGGAAGGAGGCCCCAAGCCCAGCAGGATGAGCATGGGCCGTGTTAAATCACTCCATCTGGAGCTCGGCAGATCGCTATCAGTGGGTCTCAGAATGTCATGTTAGTGTCCAAAAATTTGCAAGTGTCATAATATATGTACAGAAAGGGAAATTGTTTAAACTTCTTAAGCAGCCGTGGCCATATATGGGTTTGAAATTTAGTTCTGAGCACAGTAAATAGAAATTTTCCATATCAGATGCAGGAATTGCAGTGTAAGCAATGTGAAACTCATGTCTCACCTCAAGGCAGATATCCTTCTGGTGGCTTCAGTGTCAGAAAGGGTTTCTCCCTTAGAATTTAAAATACCTGCTGCAGGGTCAGGGGCCTCAAATCCTTGTGAGGGTCCCTGTCCCTGTGTGTGAAAGGAAAATAAAGACGTACTGGACAGGGCAGAATCACTGAAAGGAATGGTTTGGAAGAACCCTTCATCACTTAAATATTTTGTATTATTTGGCCTTCATTGAGAGCTAGTTGTTGTTACTAGCCTCTCTAACTTAGGGAGTTTAACTACCAATAGTGCTGCTTGTGAGGGACAGGGAAGCCAGCTTTGATAATATTTTAATATGTATAAAAGATCTTATTATTTTTAAATGAAGTGTTTCAATTAGTCTCTATTGTGTTTAATGATTTAAACATCTCCCTGCTGATCTATAAACCCAAATCATCCAGATCCGATGTAGCTCGCGAGAACTGGGAACCAGAAGTGACTGGAGGCAAACCATAAAACTGAAGAGTGTAAGGATTTCATTCTGTTTCTTCCCTTTTAAAAACCGAAGGCCCCAGCTCTGCACA